GAATGCATAAACCGGCTGAACTGCACCAAATAGAACAGCTCCTACACTCCCAAACAACGCTTCCTTCCATTCAGGAGCGTTCATCGCTAAAAGCCGCTTAATGGACGGTACCGGAAATTCTTCGTTGGCCAAGTTCGGGTTTTCACCGTGGTTGACCGAGTTTATAGAGCTCGAGCGGCTGACTATCGAGTGTCGACGGCTGCTCGTGTTGTGGACGTCGAATGCCGATGATGGTCCGAGTGGGAAATGGTTGGTGGGTTCGTCGTGTGGTTTGGTTTCTTGGAGGCGGACGAGGGATGTGTAGAACCCGTTTTCGAGTTGGATGAGTTCGTTGTGAGAGCCCGACTCGACCACCTGACCGTTGTTGACGACGGCTATTACGTCGGCGTTTCGTATTGTGGTGAGACGATGAGCTACGACGATGGTGGTCCGACCAACGGAGGCTTGATCGAGTGCCTCCTGAACGACTCGTTCCGATTCCGAGTCGAGTGCACTCGTTGCCTCGTCCAAGAGAAGGATATGAGGTGACTTGATTATTGCACGAGCAATTGCAATTCTTTGTTTTTGCCCACCTGACATTTGAACCCCTCTTTCTCCAACCTGCATATTTCAACATATATGAGGGTATTTTCAGACAACTTCCCCAGCCGACTAACCTTAAGGCGACCATTTGTTTTACAGGTAGCTTGGAGTCACTGCATTTGAATCTCCGTGGCCACAAGAGGATTTTTGTTCCTCATTGGATTTAAACCTAAGACCTCCAGACACTTTTGACATTTGGAGGCCAAACTCAAAACAAACAGACACACTCTTGTGATTAACCTTTGTATTCATCTCTTAGCCATTTTTTTCCTTTCCTAATATTTTAAAAATATCATTAAGTCCGCAAGTGGCACCTCCTTAATTTACGGATGGTCAAAATGTAAAAAAGGTTTTTGAACCAAGTCTACAAGTGCATGGACCAAATCTGTAAATTAGATAAAGGTCACACGCCTCAAGTGTTGGGACTAATTTTACAGATTTGGTCCCTTCATTTGCCGATCTGATTCAGAAACTTTTTTTTTACACTTTGACTCCTTCGTAAATTGAGAAGATGTCACTTACGGACCTAGTGATCTTTTTAAAATATTGGATTAGAGTTGTTTGTTTACATCTTAATAGTTCAATTAAGAGCAAATCATTAAGAGGGTGAATCTTATTTGACAAAATAAAAAGGATTGACTCCTAATGGTTCCAAAATATTCTGAATGATTTTGTATGTTGGGCTTACCTTAACCATTCGGCGTCCTAATTTCATTCTAAACAATTACCAAACAATTATATTTCATTTTGTACTATATCATGAGAGACTCTTAATCATTATAACCACTTAATCATTTTATACCAAATCATTGAGCAACTACCAAATAATTAATAGAAAGAAGGGTATTGGAAAAAAGAACCTGTGTGTCATAAGCCAGAGGCAATTGAGAGATGAAATTATGAGCATTTGAAGCTTTTGCAGCTTCAATCACTTCATCCATGGCGGCATCTTCTTTACCAAAAAGTATATTCTCTTTTATGGTGGTCGCAAACAAAGCAGGCTCCTGACTCACCAAACCCATTTGCGATCTCAACCATTTTAGTTGAAGCTTATCGATTCTCTTACCATCCATACAAATCTCTCCTCCGTGAGGATTATAAAACCTCTGCAACAATGCAATCACCGTCGATTTGCCGGAACCACTCCCGCCCACCAGCGCCACCGTCCTCCCTGCCGGAATTTTCAAGTTGAAGTCTTTGAAAATCAAAGATTCCGGCCTCGATGGGTAAGCAAACTTTACGTTCTTGAATTCCACTTCACCGGAGACTTGTTGTAATGTCTCCCCTGCCATGTCGTCGGAATCTATCGCCGGAACTCTTTCGATCACTTCTTTTATGCGTTCGCTGGCGGCCATGGCGTCGGAAATGAATTTGACGTTGGATAATCCAGAACCCAATGATCTGTTGTAACTCGAATTTATTAATCTATACTCATAATCGGGTTATTCAAGGTAGCATTTGATACGAATACATGATTAGAGATACAGATGTAAATGAACACGAACAAAGACTTGTTCATGTTCGTTCGTTTAGCTTAACCGAAAAGACGAACAAACACGAACGATAAACGAACGAAAATCTTTGTGATCGTTTTTGTTCATTTAGAAACAGATGTGTTCGTGTTCGTGTTCGTGTCCGTTTGTTAATATGTTAAACGAACATAAATGAACGGACTAAACGAACATAAACGAACGAGATTAAACGAACACCACTACTTGTCATTCAATTAACTATTACACATCAATTGTTTGGAGGCTAGGGTTTCGGGGGAAAATGAAAAGGTAAAAATTTCAAATAAGACAAAATGATGATAAAATTTAAATTTAAACACATTCTAAAATGTTAAAACTTAAATAAATATTATTTGAATTCAGAATAAATAAATAAAAGATTATATATTAAATTTAATACATAAACGAACATAGACGAACGGACATAAACCAACATAGACGAACGGACATAAACAAACATAAATGAACGAACGAGACTCTTGTTCATGTTCGTTTGTTTAACTAAACGAACAAAAAAAATGTTCATGTTCGTTCATTTATTAAATAAAGAAACATAAATGAACTTCCCACCGAACAGTTCACGAACGATTCGCTGAACGTTCGGTTCATTTACAGTCTTAATTAGAGATGACTGATCATGATAAGAGAGTAGGACTGGACGAGATAGAACGAGTGTTTATATGGTGTTTGGTATGACGAGAACTGAACATAACATAACTAGATAAGTTAGCCCTAAAAGTAATTTGATAGTTTTATATATAGGGGTTAAATTAAATGAAAACCATAAAAACCGATTTGAAAATAAATTTTTATATGATTTTTTTTATCAAATGCTATAATTTAATATATTTCTTTACATATATTTGTTTCATAATGTGATAGTTTTCACATCTATTTGTTTCACAATATGAATATTTTTATGTGTATTTTTCGTTTCACTAAGTGATCAAAAAAATAATTCACATGCAATTTTTTTCATAAGGTGAACATAAACATATGTGGAAAAATATGTTAATCATAGCCTATGATAAAAAAAAATATAAAAAAATATTTTTAAGTCGATTCTCACAGGTTTCTAACATTTTTGTTGTTATCTTTTGATTATCGTATATATAAATTTGGTATCACGTAATACTAGTCTGCTTTCGTGAAACACATGAGACCACTTTTTTCAAATGAAAATTCACAGTAAAAAACTGTGCAGACAACATTCACAGTGTTTTTGTTGTGAAGGTTCGGAGTTTTTTTTTACCTTCACAACGTTTTGATGTGAAGTTTCAAGTGTAAAATTGTGGTATCATGGGTCTCACGAAAACATGTTGTTCTCACGTGAACCAAACTATATATATATATATATATATATATATATATATATCATATAATAGTAATAATTAACACTTATGGTGGAGATAGATCCGATTAATCTCAGTGCATCTCATCTTACTATATTTCATTCTAATATACATTCAAAAGTAAAAATTTATTCTTACATTTCTTAACTTAACTCCTACTAAAATCCAACAAATTGAAAAGCTTAACCCGTTAGGTTATTGATTAGTTTTAGGGGTTGTTTGTTTACCTCTTAATAATTTCATTAAAATGCAACATCTGAATCGTTAAGAGGTGAATCTTGTTTGACAAAAAAAATGTCTGTCACTTAATGGTTCTAAAACTTTTTGAATGATTTTGTATCATAAATATCCCCTAACCATTAAGAGCCCTAATTTCATTATACACAATTACCAAACAATTATATTTTATTTTGTACTATATCATGAGAGCCTCTTAATCATTTTGACCACTTAATCATTCTACACCAAACTATTCAACAATTGTCAAACACCCCCTAATTCTACACTCAAATGGTCCATCATTAAATGAGTTACCATCTCAAAAACGAAGAAGGTCAAACGCACCATTTTTAGGCTATTCATTTCACACGTATAAATGCACTCGAAAATTAATGGCAACAGTAGGTTGTTGCCTCCTTTCCTCCTCTTTTTAGTAAATATTTATTTAAGAGTATTAAAATAAATATTTATATTTATCTTAAAATAGATGTCTAATTTAAAATTAAATAACCAAATTCTTAAATTTACCAAATTCACATATATTTAAGAATTCTGAAAAAAGAAATCAAATAAGGGTAAACATGTCATTTGGTTAACAAAAAATGTAATAATATGTGTGTCTAAAACTTTGTGTCATTTCAATTGTGACACTTATTTTGGGACGGAGGGAGTGGAACATACCAGATTCCAAAATGAAGAATTAAAAATTAAAATCTTCAAATAAAATTTATTTTCGTCTCCAACAGTCTATCCATTTTTAAGATTACAATATAAATTATATTACTAAAATATTCGATATATTTAATAAAATATTATGTCTTTCTCTCTTGTACATTTAATTTCAAAGATTCACATTGGTGAATAAATAGAAAATAATTTCTCTTTCATAAGTAGCATCTCCAACAGATTCTTTAAAATAAAGATTTTGGAGATTTTTTATTCATGAGATTCTCCAAAATAGAAAAAGTAAGAAAAAAATGATTAAATTCTTTAAATTTGGAGAACTCTATTAAATGATTACATGTGAAAAAGAAATTATTTTTTATTCTTCCTATCAATAATAATTTTTGAAATTAATTGCGTAAGAAATAAATAATATTTTATGAAAATTATTGAATTTTTTAATATTATAATTCATATTGTAATTTTCAAACTGAAAAGTTGTTGAAGATAAATATAAATTTTACTTGAAAATTGGAATTTTTTTTTATTAACCTGAATATCCAACCCGCTATGCGAGTCGACTAATCTCAGGGCAACCACTTGCTTTGCAGATAGCCCGGAGTCACCGCATTTGAACCTCCGAGGCCACAGGGGGGATTTTTATTCTTTCTTGGATTTGAGCTTGAGACCTCCTGGTACTTTTGATCTTTGGAGCCAAACTCAAACCAATCAGGCACCACCCTTGTGGTTGAAAATTGGACTTTTAATTCTTTATTTTGGAAAATTTGTTGGAGATGCTCCAAATTTGAAGAATTTCATGTTTTCTCATACTTTCTCCATTTTAAAAAAGATTTTGGGAAATCTGTTGAAACAAAATCTCCATTTTAAAGTAGATTTTGGGAAATATGTTGGAAATTTTTTTTTAAAATTTCTATTTTGGAGAATCTGTTGGATACGTTGTTAGTTTGTTTCAAACTCCATAGCTCCCAAAATTAAGGGGGTATCAATCAGAATGCACACAACCTGTTCGATGAAATGTAAGAACCAGAAGAAAACCAACTTACAGTCCACCCAAGGCAACGACGGATGAAACCGCAAACACAGTTCCTCCTCTAGCTCCATGGTACATCACCAATCGACTACCATACCATGCCATGAACGACCACACGCAAAATGCAAGACCGTTGCTCCCGATCGTCACTCCTTTCGCCAAACCTTGCTTTAAACCCATCTTCAAAGTTCCTTCCAGAGCAGCGGAAAATTCCGTTATCGCTTTATTTTCACCGACAAATGAATAAACCGTCCTCACCGAAGAAATCGCCTGCTCCGCCACCGAACCGGCCTTGTTATACTCCTCCCTTATCTTTCTTGATAAGCTCATCAGAACCCTTCCACAAATCAGACCCGGCGTAACTAAAATGAGGATGAATGGAAGCGCAACAACTGCTAGCCTCCATAGTAATATAAATCCCACAAAATATGCCCCGCCAAAAACGGCCACGTTCATCACGAGCACCGGGACCTGCGATTTGTTGCGAAATAAAATCACTCGACTCGATTAGTGTTAATAAACGGTAAAAATCAACTAAAAACCGTAAAAATCTCTCAAAACGAACACACAAGACTTCAAATATTTCTCGAAATCAATTAAAAAACTTAAAGTATCCCTCAAAGCGGTGGAATTCGCTTAAAAACACATGGGCTGACCTTGCAGTTCTTTGATCTACCTTAAAGATACACTCATAAGACAAAAATACTAGGTCTGCCACTGCGTGTATACTTCAAAAAATAGCGAAGAAAACGTACCTTTTCGCTAATGACTTCTTGAATGAGAAGGCTATCACTCGAAACACTGGTGACGATGTCGCTCGTGCTTGTAGTGTTCAAGTCGAAATACGCCACTTCTTGCCGTAAAACTGCTTTCAGATATGTTGATCTCAACTTTGATGCCTGCCTTTCTGCTGTTCTTGCCCAACAGTACCCCTCTGCAAACAAAACACGTTTTCACCGTTCAAATAGATTCTCCAAAATTTCTTCAAAATAGAGAATCAAAATTTAAAATTAAAAAAAAAACATTCGACCCCAACACTTCTATTTTCTTGACAAAAAAATCGAAACAAAAAAACTAACCAAAATCTTCTTTTAACGAATCTACTGGAGATACTGCTTTTTAATAACATACAGAAATTGATTCTTTATTTTAATTCGTCAAATAACAGGAATTAAAATCCGAATAAAAGACCTTTGGCCTAACGGTATGTGAGTCATTGGTCTCCTAGGAGGTCAACGGTTCAAACATCATCAAAGATGAGGAGGATGTGTGAGTTTATCTGTTTTATTTACCGTATATAAATATTATATGCTTCAAAAAAAATCTGAATAAAACCTACCAAGAAAACATGCTACACATATTCCAATCGCCATGTAACAAAGAATTGCTGCATTCTGTAGAGAGAGAAACATATACTGAATTAGAATTTATTACCCCACAACTAATATGAACTTGTTATGTATGCATCTAATATCGAACCTTGTTCATTTTGTCGATGAAAACGTCCATCGATAGAGAAGCAGAGCTCCCGATATTGTTCATCATTTTGCTCATCACAAGCAACATCAACGGCACCGAAAATCCATCGCCAACGGCACCTAAAAACCCAAGAGTCATCAGAAACATGTCGACACCATCGGCATGCATGAAAATGGATCGGAATGATCCATTTTTGACCTTCCGTTTGGTCTCTGTGCTCTCGTTACTCATATTAACGAAACAATTCTAGAACTCGGTAGTAAGAAGCACAGGGAGCAAAAGGAAGATCAGTGTTTTTTAAGGTAAGTTGGAGAGGGAATATGTGTATTTATAGTATTAGAGCATTTATCGTCTATGAAAAAGGTAACATCAATTTTTTATGAGATCACTTTTTAAGTCAACTACAAGGATGGGTTAAATTCACCCTTATCTATATCATAAGTATTTGATAAAAACTTTTAAAAATTATTTTTTATGTATTAAGTACTGTTATTGATGGATATTACTAAAAATTCAAGATTACAAGTAAATTGTGCGTAAGTACAATTTATTAAAGCTCCATGTTTGAGTTCATGTAACTAACTACAGATAAACATAATCAAATAGAGGATAAACATCTCATTTTAAATATAAAAAATCTAAAATAAGTTAGGATAATCATTGAGTTCTAACAAAAAACTTAATTATTATCTTCATAAAAAATTATATTATTAAATAAAAAATAAATAAAAATGAACTGAATAAATTACACACAAAGAAAGGAAATTTTAAATTGTTAGTTTGATACTAATATCAATAATTTTTTTTCAAAATTTTATAATATCTTCATATTTATATTTTATTTTAAAATAAAAATATTATCGTTTTCTCAAAAACACATAACCGTATTATAACATCGATTAAGACAAAGAAAATGAAACATTAAAATCAAGATGTGTTTCGCTACATTACACGAGTAATTTTCTCGTATACTGTTAAATTGTATCTCTATCTATTATTTTTTTCGTTCATTTATCAACATCAAGATTTACTTTTTGTATTTTCAATACAATAATTTGATCTGATTTTGACATGAAATAATGCCGATTTTTATATCAAAATCATGTCAAATTATATTTTGAAAATGTAAATAGTAATTACTCTTATTTTTACCATAAAATTTATGTCATTTTTATATAAGAATAGATTCTTATCTTCGGGGATATAATAATAATAAATATAATATTTTCTTTTTATTATTATTTTATTAAAATTTAATAATTATAGTAAATAATTAATTACAATGTGTAATTAATGATTTGAGTAAATTACAAATTTGGTCCTTGTGGTTTATGTAAAGTCATATTATACGCCAGTAAATCAAAATAATAATGGAAAGCGTTCCTATGGTTTGAATTTACACACGTCTTTGATCCCTTTGTTCTAACACCGTTAGACAACTATGTTAAATAAATTTATTTAGAGGGTAATTTTGTCATTTCATGGTTTTTTGTTTTCTATTAAAAGTACGAGGACCAAAAACGTAACCTATTAACTATGGCCCACCTCTTTCTCACTCTCATCTCTTTTACATGTATACGCAGATATACAGGGGTTCATTCAGGGATAACTGATTAGTTTGTGGTAACTATAAGATTCAATATAAACCACTCGTTGGAGATATTTAAGAGATATTTAAGGATATTTATTAAATAAGCAAAAAGAGTAATATAATAATTCTATTTTTGACAATTAATCAAAATATTTAATTATTTTTTTAGAAGAAAGTATTTAAATAAAATTAGTTACCTAGTATATCAATTACTTAGTATACATCGTATTTTAAAAACGTTTGTGAATCAAACTGTATCATAGTGATAACGTTCACAACGTTTCATGTGTTTCACAATGTATTTTCTTTGTTTTATGAAATGTATCATAACTTTTTTGTTTGTTTTATAATTGTTTTACAAAGGGTATCACATTGTGCATCTTGTATGTATATCTGGGTATCACGGTGCATATTGTTTGTTGGTATCACAGTGTATATCTTGTGTTCATATAAGGTTAATCGAAATAAGGTTCGTCAAATAAGATTCGTCGGAGAGAGGAAAGATGAGAGAAGATATTTATAAAATTCTTAAAATGCTCTTAACTAATATTTTAAGTTAAAATTACCAAAATTATTAATTTTCTTATTTAACCTTTGATTTTTAGTTGAGATTGGATCTCACGGTTATCACAAATAAAACAGTTCTCGTTTGATTAGGCTTTATATATCTCACACACACACACACACACATATATATATATATATACACATGTGTATATATGTATATACACATATATATATATACATGTGTGTATATGCACATATATATTTATGTATATGTGTGTTATATATAAATATATAAATCTATATACATGAATAAAGTAAATTACATAGTCCTTGTGGTTTTTAAATCAAATAATTTTTAAATAAAAAGACTAAAATACCCACAAATTTAACTTACTTTAACGAAATCAAGTAACAATGTTAGGAGAAAGTCACAAAGGGACTAAAGACTTGTGAAAATATAAATCACATGGACGTTTTCTATAATTATTTTGATTTAAGGACGCACAATATGATTTTATATAACCATAGAGACCAATCATGTAATTTACTCTAATAATTTTAATAAATAATTACGTAATTCGCGCAATACACCGAGATACATTTTGATTTTAATATTTCATTTTATATTTTTGGCTCTATCGATGTTATAATACGATTTTATGTGGTTTTGATAAAACCAAAATGTTTTTGTTTTTGAATGACATGTAAATTTGAAAAAAATAATCGATACCGTTATCAAATTAACTATTTAAAAATTCCCGTTTTTATTTAATTTCTTTAATTCATTTTGTTATTATAATTTAATTGAAGTTTAATAACGAACTAATTTATTTTTGTTTTAATAAAATAATTATTTTAAGATAACAATTAAGTATTTTGTTAGAACTCAGTGATTATCTTAATTATATTTTAGATTTTTTATATTTAACTAGAAGAGTACTCGCGCAATGCAGCGAGATACATCGTATTTTTAATATTTCATTTTATTTGTTTTTATTTTTGAATAAAATATATGTTTGACGATATCATAAAAATTTGACAAAAATATATCGATATTAGTATCAAATTAACTATTTGAAATTCCTCATTTTTTTGTGTAATTTTTTAATCCAATT